CAATAGACTGTCTTTCAGTCTAGTCTGGTGCACATGGGGTGGATTAATTTCAAACAACCCCCTTGCCTCTTTCTATATTTCTCATTGCGGGGTTATTAGATGATTTATTGCTAATCTACCGACACTAATTCCCCCTGTGCCTCTGATCCTGGCAAGGTGCTGTGCCTAAACGAATTGCTGAGTACTTGTGTTATGTGTTAAAAGTTAACTGTATGTGTATGAAGGTGCTCCAATGATAAGCATGGAGCAACATTAACCTTACACATAGCCTTGAAGTTACACAGAGACCAGAAAGACGTTAAAAAGGTATAGATATTAAGATTAGTGCCACTGGCTGAGTGCATCTCTAAGGTCATGCTTACAGAGGAGCGAACATTAGCTGTAATACTAATGGGTGGTAACTATGGCCACTGCACATGACGAGACCAAACCAATTATACTAATTTAATACTATCACACAGGGAACCTATGAGAGCATTAACATTAGTGTGTATGTGCATGTTCAGCCAGGTCTTCTGGAGCTATGTTGTTGGTTAAATGAAGAGTGAAGCCATAGATAACAAGGCTAATGTACAGCAAGTGTGTAAGTGTCTGCACTGCTCAACTATCCGTGAAACCATCTAATCCTCTGCTTCTGCTAAAAGATGTTGTGGGACGTTAACAGCCAAGAGAGGACACTGCTGCACCCTTGGAGCCCCACAGGTTTCAAGGTTGCGGGCTTGTGATGTCTGTCAGGATTACAACAGGGGAATGGGATCAGAGGCAAGTGACAGAGGACAAGAGACTGCATGTGTGGGAAATACACAGTAGGTCAGAGAGCAGACTAACTTGGAGTGTTGGGGCAGCGATGAGTGCTGGGACCTGTGGAGAGAGGAGAGTGAAGGAGGGAGGAAGAAGAACACTAAATCAATGGAGATGGCTCAGGATCAGTCCAGGACCAGACAGTATCTACAAGAAACCTTTCAAGCTACTGTAGTTGGAGTGTTCTTTCAATTAGGTTTGGTTAAACTAGGAGGTTGATTTCAAACCTTTATAACTGATGTCTTGTATTATTTGCTCCATTGAACCTGGTGAGTACAGTTTTATGATCACTGATAGAAAGGAAAGCTAAAATTACCTTTAGAATACAAATTTTACTACTCCATAAATGACACTATATGCTTATCTGACGTATTAAATGCAAGAGGTCTCAGTTAAATATTTGCCAGGACTATCTGAACAAGGTTTGCCAAAGACAAATCAGACAATTTACTCACTGAACCACATGCCTGCTGCTGTAGTTCTACAAGGAACAACAGAGGTCTGTTTAATAAACCAACATGCTGGAGACATGAGCTGCGATCGGCTGGGCCGCTTAACAACAATCAGAATCAGAGCAGGGATGTTTACCCGCTGTTGGTGGAGCAAACGGAAAAAAAGCAGGAATGTTCACCCGCTGTTGGTGAATCAAAGAGAGAAAGAGCACGAGGGCCAAAGAATAGGCTGTTCAATATTCACTCAGCTCAGCCTTGAAGTCTCACACTTTTTCATAAGCAGCCTTGGTGATTTTTGATAATCACCACGCTTGAAGCAAAAATCACAAGGTGGAAATGGAGAAAAAGGAGATAAATGTTGATGTATAAAAAGAGAGAGGGAAGAAAGAGAGAGATTACCCTACAGGGGGAAATGAGAGACAAAAGAGGGAAGAGTTGGAGTGGGAGGGTGGAAGAACAGGGCTCTTTTAGAGCAGCAGCACTGCTTAATTTCTCTGCAGGGGTTCAAAGTGGCTGTGTGTGTGTGCGTACAGTGAACGGGATCTTCAATAACCTGTGAGAAGGGATACACACATACAGAAACGCACAAATGAACGTGCACCGTGGTTGACATTTTCTCCCAGCTCCACTGCTCCCTCCGCCTGGCTCACCTTGACATCAGAGGCAGCAGGACTCATCACCAGCTGGGGGGAATGAAAGGAGCTCATGGAGGGAGCAGCAGCAAGGATTGTGGGAGGTGGGAGACGAACAGGAGGAAAAAGGAAAAAGGCTGATGCTGGGGCGGGCACCCTGACACAACTCCCACACCAGCCCACCCCACTTCACCACTGTGCGTGGATGGAATCTGAATTCACTCATCCTGACTCCACTGAAGCTGACAGAGCTTGGTATGATGGTGGTGAACATGTTTATTTTCTCTTATTGACCAGTTTTTCCGTTTGTGATAACTGGTCAGAGAATAAATAACAAAATCAGCAGGACACATGAATTTCATACAAATAGTATATCCCAAGTGCTGCAGAAGAGGATTACTCCTGGAGAAGCTATTTAGACTCAAGTTGGAAAAAAAACAACCAAATGCAATATTCACCCTTTGAAAAGAAAACCTGAAATTAAAAGATATAAAGGAACACTATCAAAGTTATGAGTCATCTTTAGATATTTTCTTTCAGTGTTGAAGATAGGATTATCTCTGTTTTTGAATTTTCATTTTGGAACGAAGCCCCTTCAAATCCTCAGAAGCAAAGCCAGAGCATACCTAATACTACTGTTTTATGAAAGAAACGCTGACTGAACCAGTAATGACCTGAATAATATTCATACCTTTAGGTTACCACTAAACAGCTAGATCCATGACAACACGTTGCACTGATTCCACATTTATGTCATATCTGAGTTATTGTGATTATGACCTTCAAACTTGTAACAGAATCTAACTGTACTATCCAACGTCCAAGCTGTAATTATGAGAGGGAAACTCCATTTTTTTCTGAAAGCTTCAATGTAACTGACATGGTATTTAACTTGAGAATGTCTGAAAACTAAAGAAATAAGGATGCCTCACATCAGCCAGTGTCTGTCCTTCAGTGTAATTAAACTCCAGTTTAATGGATATAGTGGCATATTGTCACGACGCAGTATTTTAACCCTCACATCAATTGGTACAATTGTACTTGTACCATTTGATGACATTAACACTCGGTCAGTTCACTACAGTACCTGGGGTCTGGTAGTTGAGTCTTCTCATCTCCACAGGGTCGGAGGAGTTGGCCAGCAGGGAATCTTTCACCCCACCTGAGTGGTCATCTTTGGGTAGGGGTGATGCTCGTTTCCTGAGGTGGCAGATACAGACAGTAAGGGGTAAACCACGTCGTGCCAAGACCACCTAAATGATTTATACAAGAGCTCTAACTCAGTCATCAATTCCTTATACTATAAGTACAAGTGACAATGACAAGATGATTAAGAATGACATTAATGACTCCTCTATATGGTTAGAAAACAAGACATGAAGGAAATGCACACATCTTCACTGGACTGCATGATTGACGAGGTTAATGGCACAGTTTATGGCTCTCAAACTAGTTCTGAAGACCAGCAATTCAACAGACAGTAGGTACAAGGGTATTACCCCCATTAATTTGCCAACTGGAGTTTAATGTGTTTGAAGAAACACCATCATTTTCCTGGAGTGGGCTAGGTTGGGTTTGTTTGCTGCTGGATAGGTGACAGCTGCTCTGTGAGTATGTGTACACGGCTCTGTGTGTGTTTGTGTGTAGCACAGATTTAAATGTGTGATTTTTCACTGCTCCGTGTGTGTGCTAACAACACATTGTGTTTACTGGCTTTCCAGATTGAGAGGAAAACAGGCGGATGCTGTAATTAGCTCATCAGCTGGGTGGCACAACACTGGGTAATTAGACCAGTTCTGTAGCACCTGCAATGCCCTGCCCAGCCTCGCTGGGTCTAGCATAGCACAGCACAACCCGGGCTGGCTTAGCTCAGTCGGCTGTAGGTTTGTCCATGAGGTGGAGAGGTGAACAGAAGACGCAGCCTGTCTGTATTCTAATGCTCAGACAAGCAGCATCTGTTGACACAGACAGACGCACAAATGTACACTTTCCTGCATCTTTCACTACACACACACAGATACAGCTGCAGACTCACAAGCCTTCTGACTGCAAATGGAAATGGGTGAAAGGAAGCATCAGCGCACCCTGTGGAAATTTCACATCTCATTGCACTCCATTTGCAAATGGCGAGCGTTGGTTTTAGGCAGGCGCAAGGCCTTCTGTTGAGGCCCGGCGTGGTGAGAATACATAAAGCTGGTAGTGCACACACAGCCTTAACCCGGTCCATCTCAGCTGCTGGGGCTTGGGCCTCACCACCACCTGCTATCTTGGGCTTAACCTAATGCTAGCAGCGTGACGGTTAATCTGTGACAGGCGTGTTTTCCTCTCCAGCCAAGAGTTGATCCAGACCGTATCCGGTGTTCCCAGAGATCACTGCGAGTGCTGATCTGGGCTGGGGGGAGGGGATGCAAGAGTTGGGCATCTGTAATCTGTTCTCCACACCCCTCATCTCCCCTTCTGGCCCAATCAGATTCCCATCTACATGACACTTTAGTGCTAAAGTAAACATGGCAGCACTCTCAATAGGGTTATTCATGTCAGGCTCAAAGTGAGGGTTAAGGCATGTGAGAATGTAGGCACACAGACTTATATATACACACAGTGTGAGTGGATGAATGTGTGTGCAGTACAGGCTGTGTTTAATGAGGGCAGAACAGGACCCTTTGTTAAAACTCCTGCCATGAGGAAGCAGCGAGTTGGGGGAAAAAGGCTAAAAGTGGAGGCAGGGGTCTTGGTGGAAAATGTCAGCTTAAAAGATGGGAACATTTCTTTTTCAGTAGTTTCCCTGACTGGCATTTACTTCACAATGCCCCATTCAGTAAAAGGTGATGCCTTGGCATATTCAGATGGGGCCAGTCTTGAAGGGGTGTGCTGACACTGGCTGGATAATGAAACACTGCACAGAGGCAAACAGGATGATCTGAAGAGGAACACTGGCACTAGATGTGGAACATGCACTGGAACATGAACGTGACTGGGGTTCTTTGACCCCGGTTATCAAGGGCTGCTGAGTCTGCTGCCTCTCATGTCTCCCAAATCTTGTAAAACTGAACAAGTCCGATTAAACACATCAATTTAAAGATGTTTCTTTTATTTCTATTTGAGTTGTTTTGTAAGGCTGAGTGGAGCTGAGGAGTAGCTGACTCAGCAACTCTAGAGAGCTGATAAATACCACCACTTTAACAACACAAATGAATGGGACTTGGGTGGTAAGAGATGAACTGTGACAGTACCCACCTTTCCTGTTTGCTGCATTCACAAAGGGCAAAGAGAAGATAGGAGGAATTAATAGATCATTGTTAGCCATATGGACCTGAAACTTCCTTGCTCAGTGTTGTTTTGACTCTGTACTGGAGACTTCTAGAGAATAACCTCATCATTGTTCACTGTTGACGTTGGTCTTGGCGAATATGCAGGCAGCAATAACAACCAAAGCTCCAGTGTGATTATTCCTTTGCACATTCACTGCCAGCTCACAGTGAAAAGGGCACACACCACCTCCCCACAGTCCCTGCTGTCAATCTGTGTCTACATGGAGAAAGGGCTTCCAGACAGAGGATGTGCTACTCAGCAAGTGAGCTGTCTAAAGGCCTATTATTAACCAGTCCCTTTCTAAGTCGGCTGGAAACGGCAGCAACACAGCAGTCTGCAAGGCTGTGGCTGGCTGGTTGAGAATAGGTTTGATATAAATTTGCAAATTTGTAACGGAGCAATCATGAGAAGATAAAGAGACTTAATCAGAAATAAACCAAGTGAGGTAAATAATGGCTCTAAGTAAGTGCAAAACTGTTTTTTAAAAAACTTTTTCATTATTGTTTCCATCAACATACAAATAATTGTTTAACACTAGCATAAAGAATGGATGGAGGTATTTTGGACTGCAACTAATGTTAATTTTTATTGAAAATGTATCTCTCGATTATCTGTTTGATCAATCATTTGGTCTAATCTTACGAAAAATGCACTGATGCAAAACCCAAAATGATTCAAGCAGCATCTCTTCACATTTAAGAAATGGGAACCAGCTAACATTTTGCATTTTTGCCTAATAATCATCACAGTAGTTTTTAATTAACTAATCATTTCAGCATGAGTTGTATTATTAGCTATTTATCTGTAGCTCCCCAGCATGCTGTTGCTCTGTGTGTATCTGCAGGGTGCTGCACATGGGTATCTGAGGTGCTTTGAAGAGACACTGACTACGCTTTTAGTTAGGACCTCTGTTGCAGCCTTCTGGTTCCTATTTAAAATGACCAGTGGTGTTGGTCAAAAGACATTTCTCACCACCGACTAAGAGTTTTTTGACAGCCAAGCTGTGCTTTTCATTAGGGAGGAAAACTCAGCTGCCATTACAACACTTCACATATTACTGTTAGAAATGGTCAACTGGGCAAGAATCTTTTTGGGAATAAGAATTTTCTGAAAGACAAATCAATCTGCCTTTGGTTCCTTTTTTTGTTGCACTGTAGTTTATGGTGAGGAAATTAGATGTCACACTTTGGAACAGCCTGGTGTAACTGTCCAAAGGGAGCATGTCTTATTACCACTCCTGATGCAACCAAAAGAAACCTACAATCACTGCAGTGTCACTACAGTTCAACCTCAAACAAACACAGAGAAAAATGGCATATACTGTAAGCACAGCCTCTTACTTCTTAAAGAGCAGGATGGCAATGACGATGATGATGATGAGGACCACGGCCAACACCGGGCCCATGACCCACAACATTTCAGGCTGCTCCCCACCTAGAGGCAGATTTGTCGGGACGAGGATCGGGTCTGAGTAGGGACTCGCAGAAAATGTCCTCTGTTAGAGAAAAGAAAAGCAGCAAAATGCAGATGCATGAGAGAAAAGTCACTTCACAGCTACAACATGTATGAGAGGTTTTCCCAGGATTCATGGTGGTTTTTAGACTTAATTAAAAAAGTCCAAGTTAAAAATTGCCTACACTCGACAGAAAAAAAGAGTGGAAATGTGAAAGAACAAAGGGACATAAATTTGTTGTCATACGTTTGTTTACAAGTGGCAAACAATGGGAGACAATTAAGAGCAGCTAAAAGGAACTGATCAAAAAATGAAAACACATTACAGTATTTTCTGTGGCTAATGTAACAATGTTGGAAACAATGAAATGTCAAAATATGTAGCCTATAGTGTTATCTAAGTCCTTGGTAAAGAAAGGGGATCAAAATATTTGACTGCAGATTTGTTGTTTTGGGTACCCCGGGAATTATTTCATGCTAATAATGGGCCACAGTTCAAGTAGGCAGCAGAACGAGACATAACTTTATAGACAAAATTCAGGAAACAATAACCATCCTTGCTAATGAGGTTATTATTATGTTTCTATTAAAGCACTGCATCACATTAAAGGAAAGTGAAACAACTGATGACAGGGCAAGTGTCAAATGAGAGTGAGAGGCAGCGACAGAGAGGCAGGTATGTGTGTGCGTGTCTCTTGGCCGCTGAGATAAATGGGGGCACAAGAGAGGACTCATCTCTTCTTCATTAGTGTTCACACCGTGACGGAAGAGGAGGAGGAGGTGACGGCGAGGGTACGTTTCCACCTTGGTTGTAAATGAGACATCTCTCTGCTCCTTCGTCTTCGAATGACAGAGGGGAGGGAGGAAGGTGTGTGTATCTAAGGAGCGGTGCATAAAAAAGTGTCTGAAAGAAGAGGGACTCCGACTACAAGAGAGCAAGGTGACAGATGAGAAAGAGAAAAAGGGGGGCGCAAGGCATCCGTCATTAGAGCTCTGCGTGCCTCCTATTGAAAGACGACGGGAGATGCTGGTCGGGGAGGGGAGGAGGGTGTGTGGAGGGGCATGGGTGATAAATCGCAGACCTTGAAGGGAATTGGGCTCCCAGCATGCAGCGGGAGTGGCAGGGCGGCAGGCAGCAGTAATCCGGATCATTAGCTGCACAGCAGCCGGCTCTTCGGCACACAGGCAGATATTAATTGCAAAGATAAGCTGAGATGAGCTCAAAGAGTCCTGTGCTCTGTCACATAGTTCTGTTATCTCTCATACTCTTGGGCAGCTGCTAGAATAATTTACAGTATGGCTGTGTGAGTGTTACAGCATGTAGACACATGATAACTCAAGTAAAAAGAGTCACATTTTCATATTATAGCAGTAGTTTACAGCAGCATTTTTTTTTTATTTGTCTTTCTCTTTCATGCACACAGATACACACAATAGGCACATGAGACCAGTTCTCTCTCATTCTGTGTGCCTTCGGGAGGAACCTATTATGTAAGAACAAAGAGAAACGGCTCCGCAGTGGGATGTGACAACACCATGAGGCTTCCTGTTCCTTAGGGAGGGCCCAAAAAGGCTGCAGGATAGGGCCCTAGAGGGAATCCTGGGAAAAAAACACTTTTCTTTCCTGTTGTAACAAATGACTACAGCTGTGCTTTCAGAGAAGGATAAGGGAGGAAAAGCGAGAGGAAAGGAGAAGGCCTAACAAAATGTAGAGGGCTTTTTGTCTGTTGGTCACGGTGAAGTACTGGGATCATCCATTTGAACGGTCCTAATATCTGATAAAAGCTCAGTCACGCAGCTCCCAATGCCTCTGCCCTCGCAGAGTGGTATCACAATGAAGCGACAATACAGTGAAAGAATGTGTGAGCTCCAGACTGAGTCAGAGACAGTGAGAGACATGAAAGTAAATATATGTGTAGCGCTTACCACTCTGAATCAGTGTGTATTTATGTGTACAGTGTGCACATGGGTGGGTTTGTTTGAATAAGAAACAGGGCTAGCTCCATGATGATGAAATATCTGGGTTCCCTAAGCTCCGAGGCCAACAAATACAAAGTCTTTTACAAATCCTAAATCTTTTCAAATTGCCTTGTGTACTTCCAAGAAGGTGTAAGTTGTAATTTCTGGGCAATTCATTGTATAAAATTCACATATAAAATCTTTTTAAAATCATTTTATGAAAGTCAATATGCACAAGATTGAGTTAGCAGGTTCTCATTTGTTTATAATCTGCCTGTTTTCATTGACTTAAATGTCTCACCTTTAGCTAATTAATGTAAATTTTGTAAAAGTTGCATTAAGGTCAAAGTGGGTTTTTTGGCTTTGGTGAGGTAAAGCTGGTGTCGGCACTTGGCTGGAGAGTGGCAGGGAAAGAAAAGCTTTTCTCTAACGCAACTATGTTTTACAGTTTAACAAGACCAATAGAGTGATCTAGTCGATCGCATTACATCAGTCTATGGATCTAATAGTTAAAACTTTTATATGTGTACTTTAAAAAGTGACTATTTTAAGCTTATCAACTTTTCATAACTCCAGTGTTTGACTTGTTCCAAAGTAAGTAGTTTTCAAATTCAGTCACTGGTTTATACTGTATGGTGATCAGATCTATTTTCAGATTGTACTGACAAGGTGTGAACAGTAAGTTACTGACACTCAAAACTCAATCTCTGGTTTCTAAACATAAATAGCTTTAGATCAATACAATGAAAGGTGGGCTAAATAGATTTGATTCAAGCTATTAAACCATCCCGTTTCTAGTGAGGAGAGGAGAGAAATGACTATGGGCCTGTTAGCACCGCAGACTGTTACTGTGCTGTATATACAAGCACTGTGAATGAATGAATGTATTTGCTTGTTTTGGTATGCATGTGCATCTGTCAGTGAGAAAAAGAAAAAGTGTGTGACTGTGTGTAAAGACTGTAAACAAATGTGTGATCGTGTGTGCGAGCATATGTGGAACATCAGGTTCTCTGAGCCTTTTCTCAAGCTCCTCTGAGCCTCCACAAGTGTGTGTGTTTATTTAGGTCGTAGTTGCTGAGAGCATAAGTGTTTGTTTGAGAAAACAAGAGAGGGAGAGTCAGCGAAGGCAAAGAGTGAAGAGACAGAGAGAGACTGAGGCAGAGGCGTGGTGGTGATAGTAGTAGCAGCGGGGTACACAACTTCCCCAGTCAGCCACTGCTCTGCCATCCCCTGAGCACAGAATCCACTGCGAGCAGCACAGCCACATTTGTTTCAGCTCACCGTTGACCCCTCTAGCGCCATGTCTCTCCAAAAGCGGCCTAAATAAGCTGCAGGGATGTGCGCCAGACAAACAAACAAACAAACATGCATAGACACCTATTATGCATCTGCCGCTCTGTCTGCCTCCCCAGGGAGGCTGAGGAGCCCACACTCCTCTCATTGCTGTATGACACCGGGAAAGACAACAAGAGGGAGGGAGAACGAAGGCAAGGTAAAGAGATAGAGACAAAACTAGAATTACAGCCTTGCAGTTGTATGTCTCCACCAAACATGCAGGTGGCAGTTTACATGCATGTCTGTCCAGACTCGCATGACTCTGAAGGAATTTAATAAAAGGTAGCATTCCATGCCATGTATGCTCCCTTCTTACCACCATTGGTGAAAAGTTGGGTTAGAATATTCTTAAACTCTGCAAAAAACATCTTGTTTTCATAATTCTCTCTTGATAATGTTTGTCAAAGTCTTTTAAATTTCAAAAGAAACCAGTCTTCCATGTTAAGGGTGTTTTGAGCCCAGAGCACCAACAGAATTAGTACTACAAAGCCAGTTCCTGTTGAAAGTGAGTAGAATATAAATGCCTTAGCACTGCAAACAGAAAACTGTGGTAAACACATTTGAACACTCTCTGTTTTGGTTCCTCTATGTGCCACAAGCTCACCTTTCCCTTATCAAAAGAAACCACACATTAGCACAATCTCCTCCTCCTCCACTAGTTCACTCTCTCTCATCTGAGCTTCACAGGCTGGACAGGACACAAGACATACATTTTGTTTTCCTCTTTTCCCCTCTCCAACACCACCCCTTCCTCTCTGTCTCACATCACACAATGCTTCATGCTACCTCCCTCTCTTCTCACATTAAATGATACTGTTTATACACACCCAACATCTATCATCCCATTTCACACTTCCCTCAGTTTGTTTATCTGCCTTGGGTGCTGGGGAGACATGAAGGCACACTCTCTTGTTCTTTCTCTCTCTCATCCCCCTTTGCCTTCCTTCCTTCCCTTCTTCCCTCGAACCACTGCTGGCTGCTTGTGGCTGCTGATATACGAGGGCTTATTAAACCCTGGCGTTCTTGTTTGATCTACGCCTGGGGAGTTTGGGTGGTGGTGAGGAAGTGTAGTAAAGACACAAGTCATTTACTCCAGTACTTGTTGTCGTATTCTCCTGGGTATGGTGAAGATCCTGCTCGAGGCAGCGTCTGCCAAATGCTCGATCTTGCTGTATGCTTTTCTTTCTGTAGCCATTTGTGTTTGGTAATAAGCATTTGCAAGAGCTGCGATGGGGGTGACAAAAACAAACACCACTGTGGCATCTCAGTTTCCAAAAGAGTACGGCGAAGGGATTTGTGCAGCGATCAATAACAGTTTGCCTGCAGTCATCACCTCAGAATTCAATATGTTTAGATGTATAAAAGAAACCAGGTTAGTGGGAGAAATTAAAAAATCTGTTTCCATGCACAACAAAAATCTTGTTACTGTATATCCTGTGATTATTATATGCAGTAGATCAGTTAGTGGATTTCTTTCCTATTCCCCAGTGTAGACGGCATGTTCTAAGTGGATTTGTGACGCTACAGCCTGAGTTTTTTGGACTGATGGTTCAGGGAGAGGACAGGTTCTGTAGTAAGTAAGTGACAGTTTTTCCTTTGTGTGTGCATGTCTCTGATTATATTTCACAGAATGCCTACTGTTTTACTGTGGAAGTCAACCTACAGACTCATTTAAGTTTTACTTTTAGACTGACTTTGAAAAAGATGCAACACTGTCATGCACGTTTACAAATGTTAAAAACCCTGTAAAAACTGTTTGAGTTTATATTTAGTTTGAGTTTATATGATTTTTTTTTTCCAGCAATGTGGCCTTATTAACCAAGTCTGTGTTAAAGGTGGTGCTGACGATTCATTTCTGAAGCATTTTTTGTTACATTTCTTTTTCCATTCTAATGTCAGTGAATACATTATATGCACTGACAACATAAAGAAAAAAAAAAATCCATCGCCTGCAAAGTCCGGCCAGTAATTTTACTTGTCCCAAGCAAAACCACTGAATGTCCTACCTACCTGCCAACCTAACTTGCTACTTGTGCGCACTCTGCAGATGTGTTACCGCTTGGTTTTTATAACTAAAGCCAGCAAGCTATGCCAGAGAAGGTACCCATGCCAGCTTTCAGTCACAAACAGAGACGGTTTTCTTC